ATGGTACTCAAGTGAAGTGCTCCTTCTGCCCTGGCTCCCACAGGTCACACTGTTTCTACTTGCACAAAATTGAACTTCATGGACATCCTTTGGTGCTGACACATTAGTCTGGACTGAACTTCTTTGCTTTATGTTCAGGTCGACCAAAATTGAATCATCTTTACCCACAGGGAAACTGTATTTAGTACTTCTGTATTTGAAAAAAATATTCTGACTCTCCAGAACCATTTTACTAATGAGCAAGAGAGGTTCACAACATCTAATTGCACAGGCAGGCAATCCATATGCTGCTTTCAGAAGGTGTTTCAGTAAGCTGAATCTCCTGGCTGACTCTGGAGCTCAGGGGAACTGCAAGACTCCATAAACTGTGACAAACAACAAAAATCTCAGGGTTTGGGGCTGCTCTCACGAACTGGGGACAGAGCAGGGAAAGTTCTGAATTCCCATCTATTAATCTCATTTCACTCTCAGACAGCCATGGTTAAGAAAAGGTATCTGCCAATTTAGGAAACCTGCACAAACAGTTCTCGATCTCAGTGAATCCTGCAGGGTTCAACTTCCCAGATAAGCATCAGCTGTGACAGTCTGTCACGGGAAGAGAGAATTCTCTTATGCCCCTGACAAAGATGCTTTTTGCGACGACAGTAAAAGGTTTTGCACAAGTGACAAATGAGATCAAAGACACACAAGCTGCAGAGGAAGAGGAACTTACAGTGTTCGTGGCACCTAGCAAGAAGCTCCAGGTCATCTGCATGGTAGTAATCATACCCTGACGTTCCCAGAACCTCAAAGGGTAAATACCCTATAATAGGTGGAGCCCTAGAAAGGAAGCAAATGGCAGGGAGTGAGCACAAAACCTGATGCTTTCACATCCTGGCAGATAGGCTGTGATACTAGCAACCAAAACCTCGTTCGTTCACTTGGCAGGGAAATCAGGAGTGGATTTTCATATACGCAATGATATATTTTCATATACAAACAACAAAAAAATACCACAGCGAGGAAGAGGTAAAAATTGAGAAAATGAAAAGATGTGTGTTTACTGTTTTGTAGCCTATTCATTATGTGGGTGTAGAGAAAGGCATGTACGTATGTGAGTGACTCAATTCATTAAGCATGCTGGTGAGACACGCAGCTTGAGAAACGCTACGGCTGCTCCGTGCATAACAACTTGCAGCTAGAGTAAAATTATCCAGTAGGTTGGATGTAAATGTCATCTGGGTAGTAACTGTAGAAGAAAGAGTAAGTGGGAAGCTGTAATGTGTGTCAGGACCAGCTTGGGTAAAAGAAAAAGTAATTGTTCCCATGGAAAAGCTTGGGAAACTATAGCCAGCAAAAATGTTTCTATGCTGGTAGTAAAGATGGCAATAGGCATGGAGCCGATTTGGGACTGTTATTGCTTTGGCAGGTAGAGAAGGAATTGACGAAGTATTTAGATAGGCACATTGCAATGACTTACCTCACTATTCAGATGTCAATTCTAGATTTTCTATTTTCTAGTCAAAATATGGGATTTTTTATGGGATCTTTTTTAAAGCAGGTATCCTAACAAAAGGACTGTGTGCACAGCCTTCACTGGAGCCTGATAGCTTATGATTACGAAACAACACTGATATGTGAGGAGAAAACCACTGTTTTTGTCTCTCCCCCCTGTATCTCCCCAGCATGCCACCTTCTATCCTCCATCACTCAGGTACACTCTTGCTTGCACCAACTCAAGCACTGCACTCACTCAGTGAGGTGGGACCTGTGCTAATGTGGCTCCACCTGTTTGCTCTGGCTGCAGGAAGTGGTGATAGTGTGAGGCTCACCTGCCAAGTGCACTGTGTTTCTCAGGAATAAGGTGATGGTGTGTTAGCAAAACAGTTAACAACTCAAAACGGGGCAGGCCGAGGGGATAGTGCCTATCAAACATCTCTCCCACTGCCTTTCTCCTGGTGTGTTGAGCGACACTCTTAAGGAAGGCAAATGCCATAAAGTGGACAATAATACGAGTAAAAAGTTAAGTGTAGTACATTTGGGTTTGGATGGATCAGTCCCAAATCTTCTGGCTGTTAATGTGGGAAGTTCTCTCTTGGCTGAGCCACCCAGCTCCACATTTGTACTCTTGAGAGTCATGAGGGCATAGATTATTCAACTGGAAAGAGTCCAGACAGGTCTATAAACTCCATCTTCCCCACAACTGTGGGCAGTCTGGCACCAAATCAGAAATGGGAGCAAAAGGAGGACAGCCAGGGATCTGTACAACAGCAGTCCCACGAGGATCAAGGTGTGAGCAGGAGCTCCTCAGCCCCAACACAGGGATTAGCTGGGAGAACCAGTCCTCCACTTGACAGTAAATCTCTTGAAACAGTGTGCTGAGTACACAGTGGTCTCTGCCACAATACAGCTTTATTTATTCAAGTAACTCTTCATAGAGCACTGTGTTCCTTTTCCTCATGTGACCCATATTTCTGGTAATGATGATAATATGTGTATTTATTAAAGTGTTCTTCCTTGCTGTCTCTTTGGCAGAACATATCAGTGTCTCTCCTATTTTAAATGACATGCTTATATTCAAGACAATAATGTCTTTCAGATGCACATCAGATAAACATTTAAGCTGATCAGGGAAGTATTATGCTTTCCTGAATTTTGCCAGAACTCTTTATATGAGAAAGCAACCGAAAAATGTTCCTCATCTGTCATTTGACAAGGAGCTGCCTTGCTTGTGGAATAATTTAAGTGTCTTGTTAGCTTAAGTTTCAGCCTTGAGACCTGCAACTCACTGTGCAAATGGGAATGCACAGTCTTCAGAGAGCCTTTCGAGTGCAGTCTTTTAATAAACGAAGGGAAAATAAGGAGAGTGCCACAGTGCAGAAAAGAAACAGATCATTATCAAAGTTGACAGGCTTTTTTTCTTCCTCCACATATATTTACATATAGACCCAGAATACATATTTTTCCTAATTCTCTCATGTTTATCTAGATCTGTGGAACGCTTTTTGCATTATCTATCTTTTCTCTGATTTATTTTGTCATCATGATAGCAAAGGTCCTGATTCCAGCTCCTGCTGGGTACCCTCTGCCCCTGCTGATGGCACACCTCAGTGTCAGGCAGCATGTGTTGATGCAAATAAGCAAGAAACAGCAACATTTCATAGTGTCCTGCAGACTGTACTGGAGAGAGGTCTGAATCAGTAATTAAATGAGACAACCCCCACAATCTCCTGCCCATTCTTGGGTCTGAGCTCATTACTTGCATTCGGGGCTGTCACAAACTCTGCATCAGCATCTGCATCAGCTTAATTTCCTCTCCATACCAATGGTTTCCTCACTGGGAATATCAGTGGGACTGGAGTGGCTGCAAGCACTCAGCACAGAGATTCCTCTCTGAGTCATAACCCAGATTAATCAAAAGACTCTTTGATAGGTTTCACAGCAGCTCCTGCTCACCTCATTCACAGGAGCTGCTGGGACACAGCCCTATGGAAAAGCAGCTCATTCCATCAGTGAAATAAGGGGCTTAGGACTCTTTTACAAATCTTAACACTAATCAGTTGATTCTGAAAATGTGCACTATCAGACAGGCTAATTAAAGTCTAACAAAGCCACGCCAGCAAGATCTTGATACGTGAATAATCATCCGACTGTCCCAAACCACACAGCACCAACCACAGGGCTGTCACAGGGTCAGCTCCTCCATGCTTCGAGGCATGATGGTTGAGGTACACAGCAAGTGTACTATACAAATGAAAGTTATTATTCATTTGTATTTGCTCTCTCTCCTTCCTGCTCTAAACGTGCAGATGATATTTAGGCTTTTTCCCCTCCCAGATATTTTTTCCTTACATCCTTATTTACAAGTCTTCTATTTCTAGTAATGACTACCTCTGCACAGCTCGCAAGGGGAGGGATAATGGAAAGGGTAGGACTTTGCAATGTGCTTATGCATACATGTCAAATACAGAGAAAAGAGAGAATAAAACCCTCCAGCTTCTTTTGAAGAAAATTAATCCTGTATTAATCAGCTTAATAAAGCAGTTCCAGTCTGTTTCATTCACCAAGCTGAATCCTAGCCCACTGTATGGCATTGTCAAAAACTAATCTGCAATTAAATCATAGAATCTGCTGCTTCTTACTTTATTTTTCTAAGTTCCATCTTTTCTCAAGGTGAAAAATCATAAGTTTACTGATGCAGCAAAAGATTTAGAATGATTCCTGGAAGCTGTAGCTGTAAAACAGAGGAGCTGAACCAGGGAGCGGGGAACAGGACACACAGAGCTCAGTTTCAATGACTTATTATCTTGGTGAAGTTAGACGTTTTTCTAGACATTTTGCAGCATTTTATATGATTTCTTAGCTGCCTAAAATGTGGAAAGGAGCAAAGCATTTAAGCATGCCTAATAAGTAAGTTCAGAGTATTGCTACTTACTTAGTTGCATTAATTAGAATTATTCCATTTGAGATCTTAGACAATACCTACACAACATATCCTGGTTTTAAATTACAGTTTATTTATTCTTCAGTGACTAAACCCAAATCTCTTACCTGTGGTCCAAGAATAAAAACTTCCATTCTAAACTATGCCTCGACGTAAATTCTTCACACGGCTCTTCAACATTGCAGAGCTCCTGCAAAAAGAGTTGGCACATTCAGACATTTAATCCTATGAAATGACAAAAGGAGCCAGCTATCAAGAACAAGGTTGCACCTTGTTGATATAATAAACTGTAACTAAAATGTAGCAAAATACAGTGCTTTAAAGGCACTTGACTTATTTTCCCCTAAGGAATGTACAAGCCTTGTTTTATAGATGCATGAACTGATCAAAAGTGGCTGAATAATTTACCCTGAGCTGAATTTCAGGGCTATGATAAATAGTCCAAGGATCTTATCTTACACTCTGTAGGCAAAATTCCCCAGCTTTTCACAAATATTGGCATTTGAATATGGATGACAGCTCCAGGTCCAGCCTCTAACTGAGCTGACCCTCTCTGCTCTGAGACAGCTCATCATACAACCACCTCTTCTCAAAAGTAGCTCCTGGTTGATATCTCATCTTTCCAAAATACATACTTGGGTCATCTCTCACTCCCAAACACAGTGGTGTCCTCTCTCCTTTACTAACCCTCTGCACAAACAACCCGTGCTGTTGAACCTGCTCCCTGAGAAGCTGCAGTACAGCTCCCAGGCACCCACTCAGCACCGGCTCGTGGTACTCGCAGCAGCTCCTGCTCTGAGCACCAGCCAAGCCCCACACCAAAGGGAAGATGCAGTCGCAGAGATCTCACCTTTAAGAACTGTGGTGTGACAAGACGAACAGTTGCTACGAGGCAAATCTGCTCCTCTGTGGCTGACCTGAAAGCTCGTGCAATAGCTGACTCAAAGCCATTACAGGAGGGTGTAGGCACTAGACACAACCAGACAATTTATTTAAGAAGAAGAGGAAGGAAAGCTTTCTTTTCATGTTAAGACAGATACAACGACTGATGAAACCCAAGCAACAAACTCCTCCTACCCACAAGGTGATGCCGCACTGATACACGCTGTAGCTCCTTTAGGCTCTGAGTTACACAGACACAACACTGACGTTATTTGAAGTTATTTAGGCTCTGAGTTACACAGACACAACCACCTACCCCTGGCTTCCAGGGGAGCTTCATAAGACAGCTCTGAGCAGCTCACAGTGTGTAGCTGCAGTCTCCTTGTCAGCCTTTCCTCAGGTCAACATTTGGAAGATTCAGTTTGTCAAACTATTTAATCTTTGTAAAGTGTGAATTTGCTGCTATAGGTGAATGAGAATAGCATATTTTACTGATTATTTGAATAAGTAGGTTGTTTTACAATCAGCAGTGGGTCAAATGGAGGTATTATTAGTCTGGTATCAACTTTAGGCACAGCATGCAAGAGAGTTCATTCCATCCCTGACAATTATGGGGTATTTTCAGATGAAACAAGGCCTTTAGGGTGCTACAGATCAACACACAATTTAAAGGAGATAGGAGAGGTAAAGGCAGGTTGGAGCAGTAACTTACCATGAGTAAAATATTTAAAATCCACTACAAATTTCACATATTCATACATCAGGGGTTCATTGGGATCTAAGCTGCCTCTTGCTAAATGGCAGCAAAACTCTATTTGTTTTTCTGCTGAAATGAGAGAAAGAGAGGGAGACACAGACTGTTACTAGTCCACACTTCAGCACACTCACATAGTGAATTTATCCAGATACTTAAACCAAATCTGCTGCTGTAGTATCTGAGCACACCCTGCTGGGATGCTCTTAATACCCGAAAGTAAATATATAACTACTAGGAGCAATTATCAGCTGGTTCTGTTTAAGGAAATCAGAGAATCCCCTCTTCTCCCATGGCTCTGTAGTCACTCTAGTATGCCGGGTACGAAGACCTGGCCATGCTGGTTAGAGGGATTTTCCCCTGACTTCACGGATGCAGGATTTCATGCAAAGCAGTTACATGATACTGTAGTACTTTGCTCTGGCACTGTTCAGTAGGACCCAGATCCAAAGGGCACTGAACTCACCCAGAGTCTTTCCATTAACCGTGGAGGGCATCATGCCAAGCTCTTATCCAGTTTTCTGCCCCAAATCCGAACTCTATGGATTAGACCATGCAGTCTTCAGCCAGAGAGAAACCACCCCCAGGGCAGCACGAGGGCTGCTCCGTTCCCACTGATGTTCACAGGGCAGCAGGGAGGGGAGGCCAGTGCTGCTCAGCCATGGTGAACCCACTGGGAAAGGAAGGTCCCAACACAGGCTTAGTGAAACCTGGGTGCTAAGAAGATGCTGCTGCCTGCATTGGTGCTGGGGACATTTCTGGGGGAAAAGGACATTCTGGGGGTGTGACAGCAGCCAGCAGTACAGATCTGGATAGACTGTTCATATAGGAAGGCTGATCCTTAAATTACATTAGGGTTTCTCTCATGTCCTGAGACATGCAAGTTTCTAAGGAATAAAGGCTCTGCCAAAACCCTTTGAGATTTCTCCAACCATTTTCCTTTCCCTAAGCCCTCACTCCTTTCTCAGGTTCAGTCCAACACCCCACACAGAGAAAAACATCTAATAAAGGCAACTTCACTGTCCTATGGGGCAAAGCAAATGGTAAAACAAAGACTGTCCAAATCAAAGAGCAAGTATTGGGGGCACATAGGAACATTAGATGATGTGTTGCACCAAAAGACAGAAATGTGGCAAAACAGAAGTGGCAGGCAGGAGAATTAAATAGCTGGAGATCCCTGTGCAGACTCCCCTGAGAGCTGTTTGCCGTTGGCAAACTTCCCTGACCGACAGACAAGAGCAGAGCTTACCATTTAGAAAATCAGCTGCAACAGGATCTGTCATGAGTACATGCGGAGAAAGAAGCTTGTACACTTCGCTCTGCTCCCGCTCAGGCAGAAAGTTTAATATATTTTGGTCCACCAAATCTGACTGATACAAAAGAATGCTTTGTCATGTTCAGCAGTACAGCCTGACACAACCACATGCCTTTTCATCCCACAGCAGAGCACAGATACTGCTGGTCTAGCATGGATGCCTAAGACAAGGAAGCCCTGTCAATCTGCAGATGGATTTAGGCAAAACATAACCCCTTAGGTTATTTTACCTCAGGATTACTCTCTATTTGCAAAAAGTTGGATGAGTTCCAGAGGTTAGCCTTCTGTTCAGAGAGAGGTAAGCTGGAGAAGAAACCCTAGTACCACAGAATATAACCTGACAAGAAGCCTTGTTTCAAAATGAAATGACACTGAACTCCTCCTCACATCTTCCGTTTATCTTCTAGGCTGAACATCTGGCAAAATCAGCTTGACCTGCAAGTGATTCAGTGCTGATCAACCTACACATCCTGACTAAAGGGGTTCTACCAAAATGTCAGCACAGATTTGTTCTTTGCACACCAGGTCATTCAGGTAAATGTGGGCTCAAATTTGCCCTCATATATAGCACTGTTGGCGCCTTATGCTTGGCACTAGATAAAGATAAAAATACTTTTTAGGGGTCAAGTGAAATTTCTGCACCTGACAGCTAACTGGTTTCTTGAAGTACTCCCAGAAAACTTTGAGGCCACAAACTTGTTACGAAAGACTATGGGCTCAAAGTAGAAAAACCCAATTAATTACAAGAGCATAGATTCAGTCCTGAAATAATATTTACATCATTTAAGAAGATCTTCAGCACAGATTCCACAGTCGTAAGACTTTCCATATACCTGGTGGGGTAAACACCTCCCAGACCATCCTTTAGATGTGCAGCCAAATGATGAGCTACAAGTAAAGTGATTTTGCATATTTGGGTTGGTTTTTTTGCTAACTCACAGACCCTGAGAGAGAATCTGTTATTCACAGGAACTTGAGGAACTCCCTAAGAGTTTGCTGGTTGATCCCTCACCCACAGTCAGTTGCCTTTTTGGCTGGACAAAACCAAATCCCAGCCCTGAACTGATGAGCAGCATTAAGGAGGGGAATGAGCCTTCAACATATTATGTGGTCAGAACTTACCGGTAAGTGTCCGAGCAGAGATGAAACACTATCAGACACATAAATAATAATCCCATCAGTGGTAAGAGCAATGAGAAAGCCATCTAGTGCCTAATGATGACAGGCAGACAAAAAAAGGATAAAAAAGTTATGCAAGGGAAGAACTTAAAATATAATAGGCTAATTGACTCTTTGGTGATGCTTCTAACAGCCTAAAACTAACAGAAATTAGTAATGGAAATGACAACTCGATGTGGAAAAATAAGAATTACACATGCTGTCTATTTCAACATTCTTTTTATATTCTTATTTGTTCATTAATATTAAATTGACTTGTATTTTTCACCCAGTGAGTATTTATTTAACATAAAGTGAGACAGTGATGCCTAGAATTTCAACACCCACACAACCCTAGTGACATCAGTCACTTCATTATGTGCTCTAAATTACACAATAGTTAACAAACTCAGTGCGTAAGGAGATGTTAGATATCATCACAGCAAACCCAGAATTGTGGATGGATGGATGGATAGACGGATGGATAAGCAGAGACAGGAAAATTATACAATGCTGTATTTTTAGCAATTTATGGACACTATGGAGAAGATCTAAAGCCTTATTTATTTTGCTTACAGCACTGATTTGTAAGGCTAGCAACAAAACAATTTTAAGGTTGGTTCAATTTCTCCTTTCTGTGGTTTCTGTCCCAGAGTCAGAGTTCTCTGTCCCTTTTAAGTCATTGCCTGTGCTTTCCTCCTTGGGTGCTCTCCCTATTCTTCCCAATGTCTCCTTGCACCATTTACCCAGTGTCTGTCCCTATTCTTCTCTAACACCAAGACCTGGGAGGTTTAATCTCTGGTCACCCCTGTGCACAAAGTCAACTCTTCTAAAGACACTGTTAGGCTGTTCTGCAGCTTAGCTACAGGGAGCCAAAGATGCAGCATTCAACCAGCTCCTCCACCTCACTGCCATACTCTGCTTTTGCTCAAAATAAATCCCACCTGGACAAAAACACTGATTTTAAGCAAATTGGTCAATGGTCTAATGAAGTCCAGCAAGCCAGCAGTTATTAAAGGGCTCACTCTCCCCTGCCACTTCCAGTTTAGGGGGTGCAATTTATTTTGAATCAGCTGGAACAAGCTAGCTCGTTTGGTGAGAGATTCCCAGAAAGAATGAACAGACTTTTCCAAGGAGGTGAGTCACGACATCCTGATGAAAAGGAATAACTAAGACACTGCAGCACCTCCCAGCTCAGCCCAGCATACACCCTTATTTTGGTGGGGCAAAGAGCAACAGCTGCCTACGCAGGGTAGATGATGTCCTTGCCAGAGGAGCACGCAGGACAAACCTGGAGCCACATCCTTAAGAAAGGAGAAATGTAGGCTCACGGGATGTTTCTAGATCAGCAAAGCATTTTAGAGGTGGGAGTATCAGAGCTGTTCTCCTGAATGCACTCAAAGGCAATCCAAGCAAAAAAGACAGCACTCACATCACAAGAACAGCAGCACACAGCTAGCAGCTGCAGAGGCAGCAGAGGCAATGCTGCCTGGCTAATGGGATGTGGGAGGAAGAGAGCTGCTCTGCTTTTTTCAGGTCCTTTCAAGTTTTCCCTAAAACTGCTAGCTCTAGCAGCTCTTCTGAGCAGGGAAATTCTTTTTCCTCTCTCACCAGGCCAAATCTGGGCCAAATCAGTCTTCATTCCTAAGTGAAAAGCCATTTATCTTGAAAGGGAAGCAATCACATTTTTAATTCTCTGTCTGCAAAGCATTTAGCACAACATAGGTCTCTGTCAGGTTTGCATTGTATGTGCCAGCAGAGTAGAAATCATTAACATTGGGACCTACAGGTGAAAAGGAACTATGTATCGCTGAACTACTCCACTGAACTGATTACTTCTCACTAATCTACGCAGCTTTAATTTCTTCTTACCTCTAACATCAACTGGGTGAACTCCTCGTTGCTAAGAAATGAAGGCTTCCAGTCTTGTCTAATCTCACAGGCTTCTGTCTGTGCTGTGATTTCTTAAAGAGAAAACATCAAAAAAGCAACATGACTCATGCTACTTGGAATTTTTTTTCATTTTCAAATAACAGTAGATTTCTTTAAAGAGGCTTTCAGAGGAATCATCCTCAGATCATTCTCCACACAAAGCCCTTTTGCATGCAACAGTCATTTTCCATGCCATCATGATACAAATGCATTAGAAATCAAGAGAGGGGAATGGAGACATTTTGGGTGTTCTGAAGATATCCTTCAAAAATTAAGGTCAATGGGCTAATTTCAGAATAGTTGAGCATCCTTGTGAGCAGAGAGTGTCTGGGACTCAGGAAGGCTGTCAGGAGTGTCCAGATAGCAAAACAGGCTGCACCCAATCATCTCCTAATCCAGGAGACCTGGGAACAAGGCACAGATGTTGGCTTTTGCAGTAGGTGCTATTCCTCAGGTTTTCCTCCCTCATGCTCTGAGAGCATACAAAGCAGGCCAGGGGATGTGGAAGCCAGTGAGGGAAATGAAGTGATGTCTCTACATTAAAAAGCATACAGCACTGCATTCAAATCTATCTACATTTAACTGGCTAGCACTGTATTCAACTCTAGCCCATTTCCTGAGGCCAACTGCTGTGCCTCATTCTGCTCCTCATTTAGGCTCATGTCTTTTCTGGAAGTCTGAGATGCTTGGGAAAAACAGTTTTCAGTTCCTGAGTGGAAACTAACTGCTGGGCAGATGCAGAGTCAACACCCTCCAGTACCTTTCTGTTTCTGTAGGAAGTCGATGGTCCTCTGCAGTATTGTGGACTTGTCCATCTTGAGAGGATGGCCGTGGCCCTGCAGCATCGTGCAAAGCTCTTTAATGAGGACATTGAACTGGTCTCTCCTCTTCTTCTCAGATTTGTTGCGTGATGCCCTGGGTGACAGAAACATAAATGCCACTAAGCAGAATGAAGGACCTACAGCTCAAACCAGGGTCAGGTAGACTGCTCTGCCCCAGCAAAACACTTTAAACACAAGAATCTAAACTCTGCTGAGAATGTTCATTTATTTAAACCTGGGCTTGGGTGCAAGCATCTTGCTGGTGCTTAGAGTCTTGCAGCAGGACTAAACTCAATGGCAGCAAGGAAAACCCAGCAAGCAGCAAACAAATATTCACATTCATTTGAGCAAGATCATATCCTTATGTACATTTCAGCAGCAGTTCCCATTGTTTCAAAAATGGTCATAGTGAAGGAGTTACAGGCAAAATTTCTCAGGTAAGAGAAGTCCTAGCATCTACAGTATGCTCAGGTTTTGCCCACTCAATTTTTATGAGCTTTTGTTTTGCGGTTAGTACACACACACAAAGGGAAGGTCAAAATGTGAAGAGTTCCTCATTTTCTGGTAAGTACTTGCAAAAGGAGATTGTCAAGAGACAATATTGTGCAGAGACAACTCAACTGCAGAATAAAGCCTTGTATCCACTTTTGAAAATCTGCTGCCATGATATATGAAACTGGGAATGTTAAAGAGTCTGGCTGCAGAACCACAGACTAGTTTCCAGCTCACATTGATGCAATTTAAGAATGTTTTATTAGTGTTTTCCCCTCCATTCAAAAGGAGAAAGCAAGTCCACTTCTTCCAAAGTGTTCTTTCCAGTGCTTGTACCTGAGATAACCCTACTTTCATACAACCTTGCTCAGTATTAATTATCTTTACAAGTGTATTCATGATGATACGTGATCTTCCTGTGATCTAGACTGAGTATGGTATGCAGAAAGCATTTCCATTCATATTCAGGTTGGCATTTGGAGGTTCTCAGCTCCAGCATTTACATTCACAGCCATATCTGTTTTGGCACTTGCCTAAGATGGCTAATTAGAACTGAGCCAAATGCTTCTCTGATGGGAGACTAACTCATACCTGTGCTAAAGCAGGACTGCTCTCTAAGTTTCACAGGGAACTCTATTCCAGGTGGGCAGTACTGCTCGATGCCAATAAAATCACAGGTCAGGAGTCCTACATCAAGATAATAAATAGCCGTGGGATAACATGAGATCCTGAGGATACAACAATGTAGTTTAAGGACCACTCATCTAATTTACCCATTTTGGGGGCAGTCAACCACTATGAGAAGCCTGAAAATGGTGACTTAATAATGCTGCTGGTGTTCCCCTATACACAGCCTGTAAACTGCATGGGGGCTTTGCCTCTGACATCAGTAGTGTCAAGTATTTTGTCAAGCACTAGACAACACACCAGTTACAATTCTCCTCCAGGACTGCAACCCATCATACCTCTTTGCCCTGTCCTTCTCATCTTCATCCATCAGTTCGTTTACACAACACAGGGCTCTGGAAGGAAAACACAGAAGTGCTTAATGAGACATATTCCGTGATCTTGCTAAGGATGTCAAAATATGGAGCTTACTAGTTTGTACTTTATGACATCTGAATGTTTCAATCTTCCCTTTCCCAAACTCCACGCTTGGTATGTACCTCCTTGCTTGCTGAGTCAGGTTGAGTCCTGAAACCATTCCTATATGCCCAAACATACAGCCCAAACAATACTTCAGATGAAAAGAGCTAAATGCCAGCAGCCCCTCAGCCTGCCTTTGCACTCCCCTCTGCTCCAGGATACAGAATACAGGAATCAGCATCTTATCTGCAAATGTGAGAGCCAGTCTGACTGATGTCTGTACCGGGTAGCACCATGCCTGGTCCTGTTCTGGGAAATCAGACAGGCTGCTGGTGGACTTCAAGCACTGCACCACTTGAAATACATCAGAGATTTCTTTCCCATTGGAAGGACATAGGAGAAAGAAAGAAACGGTGCTAATGCTCTAAAGGATTAGTATTAGGCAACAGCAAGGTACTATCAGGACATCCTAAGAGATGATATGATAGACAAGTTCATCCAAAGCATCCTGCAGCCAACTACTTTCCCCACATCATCTGAGCTGCATCCTACCACTGGGATTCATACCCAAGACTTTAAGTTAAAACAAACTTCTTCAACTGACACTAACCAGGGGAAAGAATGCAATGTGACCTGGGTTCTCTGGGTTCTATACATTTCTGTATCAAAACAACTATTGTGAGCTGCTGTGCATATCTCAGCTGTTCTTGCAGCGCAGGTAAGGAGAACGGTTGGCAACAAGTTCCCATAAGAACACTTGAGCACCATTAAATGATGGAAAATTCAACAGAAGGGTACTTCTTCATTAGTGACTTGCTTTCTGTGACTCAGATGGGCTAAGTCTGAGAGATGGGAAGCTAGGCAGGTACAGGCGAGAAAGCTGCCATCACTCCATGCTGCATTGCTCGGGTCAGCTCTGCTGGGTTACATCCCCCTCAGACACTTTCAAAGAGGAAATCACACTCATCCCCAGCACCAGCATCAATCTGGCTCCATCTCTAGCAGTATTTTCCCTGCAAAACCCTCCCACATTGCCCAGCACACAAGGGGCATTTTTCAATAGGCACATCCAAACGATTTTCTTTGCTTTGAGACTACTCCAAGCTCAAACAACTTGGTGGCTATAAAAGTAACACAAAATAAAACCACCCACAACTGACAGGAAGTCAAAGATGCTTCCCACAGTAAAAGTTAACAAAAATCATCCTTCCCTCCCTGCTCCATAGCAAGGATCTCCCTCCCTGAAGATGACCTGGGCAAAAGAAACTATGAATTTTTTTTGCTCCAAAATACGAACACACTCCATGTGGAGGGAGTGGTTCGTATGAATTTTTTTTGCTCCAAAATACAAACACACTCCATGTGGAGGGAGTGGTTCTCACTGACTGAGTCAGCTGCAAACCAACTTAGAAATTACCTGTTCTAGTCCTCAGATTCATCAGTCCAGACTGACAGAGTGGGATTAGCACTTCTTATCACCATGTAAATAGAGACGGAGAAAAATTAATCCTGGAAGGAAAAGCAAGTCCAGTTATAACACAGTTGCAAGCAAGACTCAGCCTAGAGAGCAGCAATCACTTCAAGCTGAAAAAAGTCTACCACCACAAATTAGACTCATACTCAAGTATGACTGAAGAAAGCTCAGCAAAGACTCCAGCAATGGAAGCTGGACCGAGTTCTGGGGCTCCTTGACTCTGTGGGCACCACCTGCTGCTGCAGAAGCAGCCCAAGAAGGCCAACATGACCTCTCATGCCCAAAAAGCCATGTGGTTATGGAATGGCCCTACTAGCTTGGGGCCACTGAGGATCGATTGGAGTCTTTCCAAAGTGTGCTCTGAAAACCAGTGAGTCTGGCCCATACCTCAGCTATCAAATCTTGCAATCAAAATCTCCTTCAAGACAAACATGATTAGCAAAAATTAGTGCAAGCCACAACCACCCACCTGTGGATGGACTTAAGGCCTCCCATTAAGATTTGCTACTAATGTGACACACAAAATCTCCTTTTAATTTGGGATTTAAATGATTACTAATGCATACCCTGAAATCCTGGCCATACCCACATTTCAGGGCTGTCCTCTCTTAATGAAACTTGTTTGGCATCAGACGAGCCTCAATCGGAGGAAGGACATGGATACAACCAGACTGTCCATGGCTGGCAGTAATACCTTCAACAACAGCCAAGTGCTGAGCTTCCAAATTTAATAACCTTTTAATGACCTTGAAGTGATCTCCCCACTCTGAGCCCATGCTCATGGCTGTTTCTCCTGTTACCATTACTTCCAACATCAGTTCAGAGCACTGCAAAAAAAAAATCGCTGCCAATATCAGGGATTACATATTTGTAACCGTGGAAAATTAGCAACCGTATCTCCCCATTTTGATCATCTAAAGGACTAGCAAGAACTTGTTCCTTTCTCCAGCTAGTGAAAACAGCTCAAAGGGAAGAACATGCAAGAAGGTGGTTGAAGAACCACCACAAGGGACACGTGTCAGCCAAGCACCCTGGAAAGGGCAGCCGGGACGCGGCAGCTGATGCTAAATACCATGAGCAACACAGATCCTGACCAGTGATACGTTGAGAGCGCTTTGTAGGGGAGGTTCAGGTGAATAACTTGAGACAATGGTCCAAATTCCTGCTCATGGCTGCTAAATGAAATTATGTCAGTCCATGTGCTGAAAAAAAATTGGCTCAGATAAAGTGATACAGTCATTGTAAACAGTAATATAGAAGTTACCTGCAAGAGGCTTGAACCTCCTGACATAGTAGAAGTACAAGGGTAACATATAAAATACCTAAAGTGTTCCAGCAGTGAATCAGTAAAACAATGCAGTCGGGAATGAAGGGGTTATTTTCAGTTTGGAACATGAACTTCCAGGGAAAATAGCATGCAACTCTTGACACCCTCAGTGAAGCTACAACTGAAAACAACACCTGCATAGCAAGCTTAAACACAGTGGATCTGCTATGCTTCTGTTCTCACAGCATTCGTATGCTGGTCAAGTTACATTCTTTTATTCCAGGTCAAATGGAGTGTGTGATCTTATTTGTTTCCCTATGGAGCTATCATAGAGCTGAGGTACTTATTGCAGTCACTGCTGCTCATCAGTCAGCACTGGTCTATCAAAATCACACAGTTGTTTCTCCTCTAGAAGAATGACCCCCTACAGAAGTTTTGGTGAGTTGTGATAACTTCAGAGATACGAAGGTATAAAGAAAGTTCTTTTAAAAGAAATGGGGTAAACTATCAAAAAAATAGTGCTTGTGGATACACAAAACAGATCTATCACAATTTTTCAGGGACTGTTCTTTGTATAGGGACTTTAGCATACAAAAATTCAGCCAAAGAAGGATTTTTCCTGAGCTTGGAGTGCAAAGCTTTATGTAGAAATTTTGCGTATAGATTGTCTCACCTAAAAACCCCTGGGAAGCCTGATGGGTTTTCTGTATCATTGGCATGGTTGCCCTCTCAGCCAGCTGGAATAGCAACAAGTTGAGGGAAACTGTTTGGTCACCAAGAGAGTCAACAGTCCAGTTAATGTTCACTGAGTCTAAACTGAGAAATGAAGCCTGGATTCTCCAGTCTCCAGCAACAGCTATCACACCCTGCTGCGGTACGGCTGATGTGAGCTACTAGGGGCAGAGGACTGAGGTTTCCTAATGAACATGAGTAATGTCCTCAGCCAACACCAGACTTCAAGGCGTCAACAGAATAAACAGCCATAAAAGAATTCACAGGCCCAAACACACAGGGAAGCCTTTTGCGTGATGCAGCAGGACGGTGAGCTAGAAAAAGTCTTAGTAGAAGACACCTAAGGACAAAATATTCTTAACTGGATTAAGCACTTCAGGACTACATTTAGCTAAGTGCTTTTTGTCTTGTTATGAGACAGAGCTAAATATAGTAACTAGAATACTTAAGAATAGTTTCATAAGGGTTGTATACACTACTCAGCCAGATAAGGCACTTAGCACTACTGACAGCAGTATGTCTGCAGGTTAAGAGTATTTTAAATAGCTCCCCATAGAATCTCTTTGACCTTAATGTATTAACCAGAGGGATCAAAATTTATTTATTGCCGCCTGAAAATCCTCTTCTGCAACACTTGGAGAGAGGGATTCCTGAACTCTGCGGGCAGGTAAAGAGGAAACTTGTCAGTGCTGCTGGCACCATTTCTCACCCCACCTACAAGTGAGGATCAGCCTTCTCACAAAGCAATGTCAGTCCATCGCTGCTTAATGCTCTTTGTAAAAGGAAAAGATTTTTTTTTCTTTCTTTGTACACGGAGTCTCAAAAAAACACTCATAGCGTTTTCAGGGCATGTTATGTTTTAGACTGTTTAAATATCACAGTATTTGAAGTTGTTTCCAGGGTTACAGAAAGGGTAATGCAGCCAAATGACAGCGCTAACAAGACAAATAGATTTTGTGGACAGACAGCTAATAGTTAAAGCACTATTTCATGATATCTGCAATACTCTGGCACTTTTTTTTACTGAAGAGAGAATGGACGAGGGATGATTTTTTAAAAAAAAATAGAATCTTTGCTTTTCAGAACTGTCTGACTTCAGGAGTTATCTAAACCTGCAAACTGACTAAAGAAAATACTTATTTATTGACTTGCTGAAAATTATCAAAATACTAACATTACCTTAGGATAACTCCTCATGGAACATCACATTATGAAGAACTATCCCCTGAAACCAACAGTTCCTATGAATGCTTCATTATAGGCTAGGTTTTAATTATTTGGTTATGTCACTGATGGCAAGGCAAAGATCACTCTGTGAGTGATGCTGCCCATTTCTTTGTGATCAGCAATGAACAAATCTTTCATCAGTCACCTAAAAAGGGTCCCTGAACCCAAATGATTTGATTACTTTTCCCAGCAATATCAATTGGTCTAATGA